ACTGCCCTCTAAAGAGTTCTTATATTCGATGGTATTTTATGCAGTTATAAACAGTAATTGAAATTTGAATGCAGCTTTATATATGTAGGACAGAGGGCCTAAATGTTAAAAAAGATGTCATTTTGGCTTAACTTCCAAGAAAATGTTAGGCCATTTTTATATCTGAATTCAACAAAATAATAAACATGAAACTTAAAAAAATCACTTGTCATTTCTCAAGTCCAATGATTATGATTTTTTTAATGTGTGGCAAGATACAATTTGGAATATATTTCTAGTTGTCAGTAAGAGAAACATCATATTTCAAGGGTGACATTGCTAGAACTACTTTCTTTGCAAGTTCCGTCATCCGCGTGGCGCAGTGGTAAGAGCGTTTGCTTTAGATCCCTAAGAAAATTTTACTATAGTTATAATTAACTGTAGTATATTTGTTAGGGGAGTAAGGAGTGGATCCTTACATCGCGGGTTCGAATCCCATTGCAGGACGTAGAGACCGGTCCTTCGAATGAGACTATGAAACAATGTCCCGTGTCGTAGTAGGTGCTAGCACGAAAATGATCCCTCACTGCCCAAAGGCCTTATGTGCCGTGTACAGGTCTAAATTTGCGACCTTCCACCGTCAAGTGACGGCGTCTCAATATGAGTGAAAAATTCTCGAAGGGACGTTAAACAAACAAATTGCACACTCCTGTTCCTCTTCACTCGGCATCATTCTGTTCTTTTTTTAGTCCCCTACCGGTGAAACCGGAGGGGACTATACGAGGGGTTATCAAAAAGTTCGTGGACTAGCGTGATAAAATTAAAACCGCTTTAGGTACATCAATGAATTTTTACACATTTAGTTAGCATCATCCTTTCTATCTATAGAATAAACCATAAATCATAATTTTTATTTTTTTAATAAAATGTTAGTGTTTTTGTAAGCAAAGGTATGTCCAGGCGGCGCAACCTCTAATATGACGTTTTTTCCTACCTGAGTGTAACTCAGAAAAACTCTTTAGATATGAGTATTTGTCATCAGAAAATCTCGTTAATTCAGGCATGTGGTATGACACATTTGTTCAGTAAAATTTGGAATTTTTACCCCATTCTGTAATTTCTATGAAATTTTATCGTAAATTTTATATGGAGTGTCCAAACAATTATGGGCTTGAAAATAACGTCAAAAGGGGGGAGGGGTTTCTTTTTCAAACACTCTATAGAGTTTCGGTCCTGGAAAAACTGGTATTGACCTAAGGAATGTTTAAACTGGCTACAGAAAAATAAAATGCATCCAGAGTACTTGTTTTTTAATGCCTAAAAAGATTCAGAGAGATGAAATATGCATAGCTAGTGTCGATTTGTAGTCAGGGTGTCAAAAGTCAGTCACGTCGAAAAGTGACGTTGATCATGTGTGGTAGAAATTGAACTCCAACAAGCTAAGTATTCTGGCATAATCAAGTGAGGATCTTTCCCCATATAAAGATCCATTTACAATATTATATGCATTGAAAACAGCTGCTCATGACATTGTAAATTCATATAAATAAGACGGGTTTAAGTCCTAACTTAACTCCAGGTAATCTCATCAAGATAAGTGTATGAGGTAGAGAGAGCGGACATTAAGAAACAATGACGTTAAGCGGACGTCATGACACTAAACGGCGACAGCGCCGGGTGATCACATAAAGTCTTTTTAATTTTAGAATAATTTGGCAAATTATCAACTTATCAAGCTAAAATTTTCAACATTTCTTAAACTTTTGTTGTTTTATGTTCCGCATAAATTTTGTAAGCAAAGACTACATATTATTAATTTTATCGCGTCAGTCCACGAACTTTTTGATAACCCCTCGTAGGTTTCCTCTGAGTCTGTCCGTCCGTCCGTCTGTCTGTCAGTCTGTCCCACTTGGTTTTCCGCACTTTTTTCCTAAACGCTAGCAGATATTGAGCTGATTTTTGGTATGTGAGTGTATCTTGATGAGTTACAGATCAAGTTTGCATTTCGATCCGCTTCATTGATTTTTGACGGAATTACGGCCTTTTCAATTTTTAGGGGTTTTCCGCATTTTTCTTCTTAACGCTTTCAGATATTGAGCTGATTTTTGGTATGTGACTTTACCTTGATTAGTTATAGATCAAGTTTGCATTTCGTCCCGCTTCATTGATTTTTGACGGAATTATGGCATTTTCAATTCTTAACGGGAACCAGATTACACTTGCCGGTAGGGGACTAGTATTGCTAATGCAATACTCTCAGAATGCTTGTTTCCATTTGTACTCCTTTGGTGACCACTAGTGCTTCAGAAGGACGTCTAGCTGTTTATTTCCTCTCAAACATCTTGCTCTGCCATTAGGTCTCGTGTCCAGTGTTTCAAATGTAGTAATGAAAGATGTATCTGAAAACCTGCCAGAGGAACAAACCCTTATTTAATTGTATAGAAAATTCAAAATTGAATAACTTTAGGCTTTTCGGGTTAACAGTTACATTTAAGGCTTGATAAGTTCCTTTAAAAGTTACCTTGACTGTATGTTTTCATTGAGTTTTATTTATTTTGATAACTTCCCCTTTGTGCTGCTTATGTCTGTCTGGGGACATCTTTTTTATTATCATTATTTTTATGGCCCTTGTAATGTCCTCCCCTAAGTTTTCTTTAAGTTCATTTTTTTGTAATAGGCTTTCTCTTCAAAAAGATGGCCGAGATCTTGCAAAGATCCTATTGGACCTATAACAGTAAGGCAAAATAGACTTGCAAGGGGACTCTCTAAAAGGGTAAAAAAAAAAAAATAAATAAATAAAGCCAGTGGTGTTGAGTTTTAAATAAATAAATATAAAAATGCTACATTTTGTTTACTAAATTCGCTTTTAAAGTCTATACATACATGTATTAGAAATGCTGCTGAAAACTACCATTCATAGTACCGTTTTATTTAAATGACAGTAAAAATTTTTATTTTTTATTTGGTAAATTGTTACAGTCAGAAAGGGTAATTGGAATTGGTTGATCGACTTAAAAAAAGCAAATTTTTGAAGCAGAAGAAGGGCTTATGTACGTCATCGTTTCACTTGTACTGAATGGTTCATACTAGTGCTTTCGTATTTAACGTGTATTCTTTTTGACAGGGCCTTTCTTTTTTGTACTGTCAATTAGGACAAATTGGCCTTGTCCTTGGAGTTCATTACCATTTGAAAAAAATTAACCTCGATCATGAGCTGTCATACGGGGGCACACAAACACATCTTTTTTTTCAAACTACACTGATTAATCGTTGTTTTACGCCCCGTTCGAGAATTTTTCACTCTAATAGAGACGTCACCATATACCGCTGAAGGGCTTCGAATTAAACCTTTATTCGGCACTCACGGCCATTGAACAGTGAGGATTCCTTATCGTGCCAACACCTACCGTGACACGGGACCTAGGTTAGTAAGGTCTCATCCGAAAGACCCGTGACTTTCTATTCTAGTGCCGGGCGTTTGGCGGAAGAACATTCACTGCCTATGTTTACGTCTTAGGTTTGACGCGGCGCCGTGAACGAGAATCGAACCCTGGCCTCCCGATCACGAAGCAAACGCTCCACAACTAGGGTACCGTGACCGGTCAAACTACACTGAAGCATGTTGACCCGATACATGTATACGAAATAAAAGATATCACGGAGTCGGTTAAAAACTACTTCATATTTGAATGATTAACTGACTATACACTGGCCACAAAACGACTTAATTATATGACAAACCGAATAACTTTCACTTCGTCGGCTTCTCCTTTGTATGTAGTAATATTAACACTTTCACCTGTATATTGTGCTCATGTCTCAACTGATTCAGTATACACAATATCATGTTCTGAGAACGATCATTTTTAAACGGAGGTAGGCTACTTACAAATAAGTTGATATTAAAGAGATTTCAACAAACTCGTTTAAAGTTGGCATTTTGCAAATTTTATGGTCGTTTTAATGACCTTGTTTGCAATATATAACCTACCGTTAACTTTTTTAATATCAATTATTAGGCCAAAGTTTTTATACTTATTTTGACTACGGATTATTCTGATTGGCTTATCGATACAGAGGGCTCACGGAGGGTATGACCAGTCAACAGGAGAGGCCTATGAACTGGATACAACCTCTGTTTTTCAGGGGTCTTATGTTTTGCCCTGTTCACTGTTGTTCACAGGATTTGTGACATCGTTGTACAATTTCGGTTACTGAATATGAACATTATCGATAGTAATCATATAAAAGTTGAAATATGTAGCTCTGAAGAGAATGTACATATAAATGTGCTTTCACTTGATATAATTAGATTTTACAATTTCTAGTCACGATTTTAATGATAAAAACACGTAGAAATGATATAATTTCGAAAAAAGCATACGTATTGAATATATATATATTATATATATATAAATTTTGTGAAGTGCAAAGAGAGTTGATGGAAATAACAGTTGACGCAAATTTTCCACCGATTATATCAAGGTTTTAATGAGAAGGAAACTAAAATCAAATCTATAAAGTTGGCAGTCGTGCACGAGGTTCTTTAATGTTGCTATTTCACATATCAGAAAGGACATTCTAATGTCGATTTTTTCCCCCAGATTTTTTCAGAAAATCGATGAAAGAGCCAGTTGGTTCTTGAAAAATCCGTCCTTTTCCACAAAAGAATAAACAGCTAAAATTCTCTATCTTACTACAAGTCGAGAGCCGAGAAAATACAAAAAAAGGATTTATTGATCTCGTGATAGTTTAGCCACAAGGAAACTATTAAGCTACAGAAATCATATTTCATTTGTATTCTTACATTTGATATATTGTTTTTTTTTTTAAATGTACAGTGAATTTCCAGAACGTTTAAATGATTAAACGCAGCCGACATATGTGACAACAACAATATGAATAGCATAATTACACATGCATTGGGACAGAAGTAACACTGTTGATTTTGTATAATGAAATGAAAAGACAGAACTGACAGAAGAGTTGATTTGATATATATGAAACCTGGACTCTTTCAGATGGCTTTGCTATCGATCGTCAAAGGAGATTGACAATACCTACAAGCTGTATATCGATCGGACTACAAGTGACATCGTCAGCAAACATGTCGTCCATGTTGAGCGCAGTAAGTTCATATTAAATTTCTGATCATTTTATTAAGACTATAATTTCCGAGCAGTATATTTGTCTGTAAAATATTTAAGATTATTGGTTTTTAATTTTGCATTAAAAGAACATTATCAATTAAAGTAAAATATTCGGTGAACTATGTTTTTGAATAAATATGAAATGATACTAAAACAGAATAGTAGTACATGTAACATGTATTAAGTTGTACTTCAGTATGGAAAACCTATTTAAATATTAATTTATCTAAAAAGAGGGAAAATCGAAAAAGTAATGGTATGAGAGCAACAAATAACCTTGAAACTCGATCGTTAGCGACCATGAATTTCATCTATTGATTATTTTATCACTTTGCTCTCATGTTAAATCATCAGAACAACATCATTAAAGGTAATGGAAAATTACGGACTGAAATTTACTTTTCACTTATAATGCATTTGGATAACAAAGGATGATTGAAAAATATCAATATTCTTTTATTAGTGCAAAATTTCAATTTTTTTTTTCTTTAACGTGTGAAACGTATGAAATATTTTTTTTTTTTTGGTTTAATTTTAAAAGTGCATAAATAATCTTAAAATGTATAACTATCAACAGAAATACCATGGAAAGACGATATTATTATTTTGGATTTTGTTTAATTTTTCAGTCTTCTCGATGCGTAAAGAAAATTTATGAAATTCTCTGTTGTGACAACAAGTGTTGCGATTGCTGTTTCGGTAGTGAGAAAAAACTGACCAAGTCCGATATCCAGCATTCCTTCAGGGAATCGTCTACTAGACTAGATTCAACAAGTTCTGCAACAGATAGCATGCGTAGCTTCAGAGAAAGAATGGAATCGGATAATATGTCGTCAAGAACAGATTCGGTTTCTTCGACTTCACAACTAAGTGGGGAATACCGAAGGGGCACAACAACACCCGTTATTGATATGAAACCTATAGAGTTCTGGGCTGCCAACCGCGAAAGTGTTCAGCCTAAACAACATCGCCGACGCCTTCCGAGTGAAACCGAAATCAGCGTTGAAAACTTTCAACCAGATTTATATGAAGAAGATAAATCAGAACCGTGTTTGACAGATGAAGAAAAATTAGCCAAATACCAACTGGGTCAGATCCATATAGGTTTAAACTACGAGGTGTCTACCAAAGTGTTGGTGGTCAAGATAATTGAGGCAAAAGACCTACCCAGACCTTATTCCCTTGATGAAAATAAACAAGACATGGCTCATTCAAACCCGTATTGTAAAGTTTGTCTGCTTCCAGACCAAAAAAATTCACAACAAACGTCAGTTCAGCGCAAGACACAGGAACCGACGTGGAATGAATACTTCATGTTTGAAATTCCTTATAGTGAAGTGCAAATGCGAACATTAGAAATTCTGGTGAAAGACTTTGATAAATATTCCCGCCACTGTATTATTGGTCAGGTGTACTTACCTCTTACAAACTTACAACTCCTTAAAGGTGTTCATATGTGGAAACCTCTTAGTCCAAGTACAAAGGTAAATACCCACAATTATTAATTTCTTAAACGTGCACTGTCAATATATATACACAATAGGCACCAGTTAGTATAAAAAATTTGAGTTTTAAAATTTTTCAAGTCTATTGTTTCCAGCTATCTGGTTGACTCAAAATAGATTTATGCTCTAATATAAAACAGACTATTTGTATCTATTTTAAGCTTCCAAAAAGCTTACCTACTTAAGGCCATTCCAAGTTTTTTCTACGTTTAGCGTCCGCCTTGGTTTTTGACACCCCATATCAGAAAAAACAAACAGAATTAGGAGTCCTGAAATCGTTTATTCTCGCCAAAATCTTTGAATTCTGTAAATTTTTATAAATATTTTTCTACAGTATGTCATATTAGGAATATTTTAAGCATTTAATACCTCGGTTTTGTTTTAAGAATAGATCTTTCAACGAGGAAAATAGATTTGTCAAATCAAATCTTTTGAATGATGTCATTTTTATGACTATAAAGTCTTTGTTTCATTTTTTGGTTTGTGTTTTTTTTTTTTTGTGAATTGGTAGGTAGGTTATTGAAAGATGGGTGGATGCTAAACAGAGAAAAAAACTTGGAATGGCCTAATGTTTCTAAAATTGGAAACATACATTTGTGAAACAACATTACTCCTATTGTTAATTGTGATGTCATAATGTCGTATATATATGAAAACTACTCTAAAATGGAAACATGGATTTTCAAGATAGTTTCATCAACTGATACAATGAAGTAATAATAAAACAAATATAGGCTTTTGATTCGTTACATTCCCTAGAAATAAAAACCTCAGAGAATAGCAATTATTATTCAAATTCGCCCTTCGTGCTCGGTCGATATGATTTCTCTGAGATTTATATATCTAGGATTTGACCTCATCAAAAGGCTCTGTTGGTGTAATGAAGAGCAAAAATATTATTTTACGGGATCGTGTATTCAGAAAGTGTATATTTCAACATTTATGCAATGCATTATAGTCAACATGAGCACTCGACGAGAGGTATTCATATGTAGTTAACACTTCAGCATCCACGAAGTCAGAGATTATCATATATATGGAATTAGCTCGCTAAAACAACTCGCTAAAAGCTCTTAGGTACCACATTTATTTGATCAAAATGTGATTCATTTAGCACTTTCATTGGTATCAGTACATGTACGTGTACAAGGGTAATGTATCAAGCTTGTAGACATGAAACGATTTTGGAACACTGAATTTGATTACCAGGATACGATTCCTAATGTAAAGAGACTTACAAGACTTTTCAACTGTAGACTGACTGATCCATTATCACCAATCGATACCATATTCAAAAAGTATGAAATAGGTGGATATAGTAAGGTCGATGCCTGCTTAATTATAAAAGTAACGTATAATGTCCGAATTTAATAACCCATCAAAAATATAGTTTAAGTATATAATTTTTACATACAATCCCTAAATTGCAAAAGTAAGGTACTGTAATTAAAAAAAACATTTATATTGTAGGAGAGACATGACTTGGGAGAAATACTGCTGTCTTTGAACTACCTACCAACTGCCGGGAGATTAAATATTGACGTCATCAAGGCAAAACAACTTCTACAAACAGATATGATTGGAGGATCCGGTCAGTTTTCCTATTAATGAGTCAGATGTTTATTTAGTTTTTAATATTTGGTTTAAAGATCAATAAACCTGATTCCATTTCATGCAATTTGTTGTGATGACCTTTTTGCTTTAATGAAAACATCGGAGACATTTCTATTTTAAATTTTTTCTTGATGAGTTTTTTTTTCTTGATAAAAATTAACTACTGTTTTAAGTTTTCTAAATAAAATGTCAAATCTTTTGTCGAATTATAAACCTGTTAAAATTTTTATATGATGTCTTGTTCATGTCCATTGACAGATCCCTTTGTAAAAATAACGATGGTGCACTTTGAAAAACCCATCAAAACCAAAAAAACTTCCGGAAAGAAAAATACCATTGATCCGGTGTTTAATGAATCCATCAACTTTAATATAACACCACAACAACTGGAAAACACGAGTATTGTGGTCACAGTCTGGGACTACAATTCAAAAAGTAAAGACGATTTTGTTGGTCGTATCGTGTTGGGAAAATATGGAACTGGACCTCATGAATATACCCACTGGAGCCGGATGTTGAATTCTCAACGTTCTGCGGTTGCGCAGTGGCATTCGCTGAGGTCTCGCCAAGAGTGCGACCAAGTGTCGCCTGCTTCTATTGCAGTTCCATGACATAATGTCAAGCGAAGTCAAGGTTAATATCAAACATCTGTCGCCGACAAGAAATTTCCATACCTGCCAAAACAAGAAGTCAATATCTGTACAGTAATATTTGATATTAAGTTCTGTTAGTACATTTGTAAGTGGAATTGTCATAATTTAAAGACTTTGTTAATTGTTTGACGTCATCATTGTTTGGTATTGACAGACTAACATAATTGTTTTATATCATTGTTTGTTACAGAAAGACTTAACACCACGTTTACTCGGTACCATTGTATAAAAGCAAGAGGGGATTGCCATATCTGTCACTTCAGAATTATGGCAAGTAGATTGCCATTTCTGTCACTTCAGAATTATGGCAAATGCCTTTGCTATATCATGTGTTTTTGGTACTTAATAAAAGAAAAAAAAGATTAATAAGATTTTCATTAACTGCTCATGAATTTGAAACCATTATAACATTCAAACAAATATATGGATTATTTTTTCTCCAAAGATGCGAAATCAGATTGATATACATTTATGTTACCTAGTATACTAAAGACCATCTGTAATAAGTCATGTTGGATAATGTTTTGAGGATTCACCTTTGCAGATTTCATACGTTTACATTGTACTTTGTCTTTAACAGTTTATATTTACATTTGCAAATGCTTTCCCTTATATAACGTTTTTTTGAAAAAAGGCGTATATAAATTTTTGTATTAACAGGTTCATCATCTGACCATAAATTCACTGTTTAGCCATAAACGATCAAGTTTAACGTCATAGTGACGTTTTAAGTGGTCGACGTGTTCAATTTATACCGCTGAGGTTTGAAAAAAAATGAATTGTTTCAACTTATTTTGCCCAAATATTTGTTATAAATCAGTCACAAATGTAAATATAAGTAATAAGGTATTATTTTAAACATTTATCGAGATGTAAATACGGGTTGATACGTGATCAAATCTACCATAAAGCCATCTTCGGGCTTTAAGGGATTTGATCACATGACCAGCCCTTACTTACATCCCGATAAAAGTTTACTAGGCCCTAATACTTTATTTCTCAATTCAAATGTTTGAAGGGCATTTTACTACCAAAGTTGTTTTAATTGTATTGCTTGTGTGATACGCACAAAGTATATCAATTTGATTTATACAATAACCGAGAAATGTTACTTTGTTCTGCACATATATATTTTTATATGTAAGATAATTTACCGTAATTTGTGAAATGCATTGTCACCTTGTAAGGTTAGACAATAAATTGTTGCTTGTATGTATAAAAGGTCTTTTTTCACTTGTTTATCGTCATAGAAAAAGCCAATGCTATATGTTAACTTGACATTTAATTCCCCATTTATGTTATTGTAAAGCAGTAAATTATCATAGTATCAAGTTATTCTAACCCATGTTATGAAGTCCACGATTCCACTGATTTAAATTGAAGGAATTTTATTGCTACGCGAGGGATGTTCGTAAATTAATGAGACATTTTGTTTATTTTTCTTTCTAATGAAGGCCTTTTTGAAGAAAATTGGCACATATGTTTGACAAACACTAAGAATTAATAAAAGCAAGAAATATTTTACAAATACTTTAATTCTTCTTTTCAATGGTATATTAATGTGTCAGTGGTAGGGGTACCCGGCGCAGTCACGAAATCAGATATTGAAAACATGTAACACCTACTTTCAAACTCCTGGTGGGCCCTTAATAAAAGAGGAAATGATTTTAATTATGTATATAATTTTTCAATTTTATTTTGACTTCATTTTATGCACGTTTGATAGAATTTCGATTAGAAATACGGAGATCATAAAAAAAATTTAAGCACGGTATACAAATTTGATTACGACAGCAAAATGGAATGTGACGTCAAGGCGGGGCAGCGACCATATGTAAAATTTTGTGTAGTGCTGTGAAGAAGTCCTATCCGGACTAAACGACCTTCTAAAACAATTACAATGTGAGAAAGTGCGATTTTTTTTTCATTGATATATATATATATTTTTTTTACAAATAAGTCAACCAGAGTAAGAACAAAGACTCCGGACGACCATCAATTATTACGGACCGAATAACTGAAAAAAAACCCACAGTACTGTATGATGCTAAGTCAACCTGTATATGACACTTCATATAATTTTACATGTGATGACAGAGAAAGAAGAGTTAACGATGTTTGATCTACAGCTGGTGTAACGTTAAAATGACGTAGCGATGCTGTTCCAGGTCAAGAGACATAAGTTACTGGGATTTATCTAATTATCTCATTCAAAAAGAAATTCTGCACATTCGTTTTATTTGTTATTGATAAAATGTTGATTTTTCATGAATTTATCTCTTTCCTTTATGGAGTAAATGTCTCAATAATTTCCGAACAAGCTGCGAGTCGTAATCATGGTTTTGTTAAATAAAAAAAAATTTAAAAAATCTACAGCTTTGTCTTACTTCAATATCTATATATCTATCTATCTTTCTTTCTTTCACCGTGTACCGATTTTCTATTCACGTATTCGTTAAGGTATCTGAACTTGTTCTCTTGTCCATAAAATCTCGACTGTTCAAAAATGTTCCCTGTCTATGTCTACTCAAACGAAGAAAATAGAGTTCTTTTATAGAAAAGGTTAGATTTTGTTCGTTTGTTTATTGTTTAACGTCCCTCTCAAGAATTTTTCACTCATATGGAGACGTCACCACTTGCCGGTGGAGAGCTGCAAATTTTGACCTATACTCGGCACCCAGGGCCATTTAGCAGTAAGGGATCTCTTGCGCCACGTGGGAGACGAAAAGGTTAGAATTCCAATTCTTATCTATATAGTCTTTATGCTTAATAAGAAAAACAATTTCTTGCAAAATACAAATGGGAAGTGATATCTCTCATTTACTAGTCAGATTTAAAGAATCACTGTCTAGATTATTAGGTATGTCAGGGCATCAACGATAGTTGGAAACGTGGGATAATTTGCATAATGAGCGAAGCCCGTTATGCATAAATTATCCCACGTTTCCAACTGTCGTTGATTCCCTGGTATGCCCAAAAATCTAGACAGTGATTCCTTATATTTATTTTTGAAATAAAATTGTAAATATAAATAGAAAATGCTGTCTAATAGATTTGAATTACTGTTCAGGAGGCCTCCCAAGTTATCGCAAACCTCGCTTGAAAGTGTACACTTCGACCGAAATAGCGTTGCATTGAGTGATGTCACTCTTGGATTTGACAATTGAACAATCTAAATCACGAAGAAGATTGCTTGGATAAATAATGTCTTAAATATCTTAAACGATTGTGGACTTTCAAATATTTGGAACAGTCAAGCCTTCAATCTAAATTGGTTAAGAGCGAAAGTAAAACTAACTTTAATAGATCAATTTAAACAAAAATGGAATTCGGATGTTCAAAATTTATCAAAGACCCTAAATTATAGAATATACAAAGACGAACTAAAATTTGAAAAATATTTAGAAATTCTATCACGAAAAGAAGCCATAAATTTCTGCAAATTCCGTACTTGTAATCATTATTTGCCAATTGAAACTGGACGTTGGTTAAATGAACCAAGAGAGATTAGACTATGTAAGAAATGTCAATTAAATGAAATAGGAGATGAATTCCATTACATATTAAATTGTACGGCAATGACACGTGAAAGAAATAAATGTTTAACACAAAAACAATTACGATTCAAAAATACAATTACATTTAGAGAAATAATGAATTCAGATAAACAGTCATTTTTAAGAAAACTGTGTATATTTATTTAAAAAAATTACTAAAACGTGCTCCCCAAACTAGTAAAGACCTAAACCTATAATTGTACTATTTGTCTATCCTCATACTCACGCATGCCATATATGTGTTTTTATTTTTCATCATTGTAGTTTACATTTATATCTCGCTATACAATTGTAAAATTGTGAAGAGATCAAATAAATTCAGTCAGGTTACATTTTATAAAACATGCGTTTTAATTGGTTGATTAGGACCCGCCCACTCTCGTGTGGTATCCTTTGCTTACATGTATTTGGAAGTTGAAAAGTTTACTGTTTTATTGCCACAACTGTCAAAAATACCATGTTTCAAATGTGTGTGTGTGCTACTGCATACCCATTTTAACGGCCGTCATGGCAATAAACAAGCGACCAGAAAATTCGAAATCCTTGTGTTTTTTGTTTTTGTTTTTTTTTTTCAGTGCAATTTTTACTGTAACGGCGAAAATTATTTATCTATTCATAATAAATATCATAAATACTTGCATGTTAAAAAATAAATAATTAAAAAAAAATTAATTCACCGAATCTAAGTACGTGTTTTTCAATCGCAGAAATATGCCCCGGGGTACATATACAGATGTATGAAGTCAACTCCTGCCAGTCCTGGCCCAGATTTTATTTGCAAGACCATTTTACAGTTTACCAACACCCACAATCATTTAGTAAGGTATTGCATCGTCCCACATTCACCAAAAGAAAATACTATTAATAGCTCTTTTGTCCGTTTTCTTACTTGGAAACATTCCACCTGTTTTGGCAATACATTTGGGCGGACCTATAATAAAAAATGCATCAATCAGATTCTTTGTTGGATTTCGCAATGGTATGTCAGTCAGATTCAATTGTATTTCAGTCGGATTCAAGAGAGTCCTCATTCAACGCATCACTGTTTCGGTCGTAGTGTATACTTTCAAGCAAAATTTGCGATAATTTCAAAGTCCCCAGCAACTGACGTCATACACAAAGACAGCCGAACGAGATTGACATGCATATTAGGCTCCTAACGTTTCACTTGGCGTAATTTACATTCAGGTGTTATTATCAAGAAATCAACTCACCAAACTTTCGAAAAGTTATCACAGAGAAAACAATAAGAAATGTAGTCGAATCAAGGTCATGGGCATAGAAAATGCTCGCAGAGGTCATTTAAATCTATTTCTACAATTGCAAATTCTCCACAGGATCCCTGTAGAAAATCAATATAGAAACTACTTATTTCTGTAAGTTTTGTACTCAGAAAACTGGATCGAACTTGTGTCATTTGTGACCATACTGTATCTCTGTGGAGGAACTTGAGTCTACATATTTATACAGAACCATATATACAGAGTTGGATTTTATGTTAGAAATATATTATTATAGGTGAATTACCACTGACTAAAGACAATAGTATTGAAATCTTTATGATATTTATACAAAAAATATATCTTTTCATGTTTATTACAGTCAAAAATACATTAAGCTTTTTGATTGATTGTGTGTTGTCTTACGTCCCATTTGAGAGTTTATGGAGACGTCACCGTAAATCGGTAAAGGGCTTCAAATTTAGACCTACATGTATACTCGGCACTCAAGGCCATTGAACAGTGAAGGTTTTTTATCGTGCCAACGCCTACCGGGACCTCGATTTTTAAGGTATCATCCGAAAGCCCGTGACTAAGTGCCGGACTTTCGGCGAAGGAACAGCCATTACCTTTAAGCCTTACGTTTGACGCGGCGCGGGGAACAAAAATCGAAAACGTGGCCTCCCGATCATGAAGCGAACGCCCTACCCCTAGACTACCATGACCGACGTAAAGCTATTGACAAATGTAAAACTAAATTGAGACATGTGTGTCTATTAACAACTCAAAACTTTTACTTTATAGAACAATGGATTTTGCGGGAAAATATGTTTGAACCAATGTAATGCCCTGTTCACACGGAGAGTTTAATTCGAATTAAACGTAAGTTACTGCGAATTAAATTTGATCCGTGTTCACACGGAATATTTAATGCGAATTAGTTTAATTCGAATTAGTTTACTGCGCATTAAATTACTTCGCATTAGCTCCGTGTGAACGCTAAGCGAAGCTAATTCGAATTAAATTCTGACGCATGCGTAAGGGCAGAATTAAGTCACAGGCCACATGCCGATGGTCAAATATAGGTACTTGTGCTATTTTTGAGTGGTAAACAAAGGAAAATTATGTTAATCACTAAAATGTGTACAGACACTATGACATTATATCAAATGTATACCTGCTCTGCACAATATGACGTGATTTGTAAATGACGTCATAATAGCCTCACTGAAAAGCCTTGTAAAAATAAAATTATAATTCGCATTAGTTTACTTCGCATTAGCTGTCGTGTGAACGCAATTTAATTTGCATTAGTTTAATTCGCATCATTTTACTTCGCATTAATTTACTGCGAATTAAACTCTCCGTGTGAACAGGGCATAAGACGATGTGAACAGGATTTTGGTCCTTTTTATATGGTGTAAAAAATGGATGTGTAACTGCT